ATCAAAACTGTATAAATTTCACCATAGCAAAATTTGCTTTACAATAATTTATTGTATCTATTTTCCATTATATAGTGGCAGAATTATCAAAACTGGGAACATATGGTGGTAATGATTCAATAGTGGCTTTTGCCAGGAATAATGGAGTTGATATTGTTATTCACCAACTTAACAACCCTCGATGGGTTATACATGGAAGTGAATTCTCCAAATCACAACAAAAAATAGAACTCCATTTGGCTTACCACAATGGGGAACATTATTCATCAGTGCGTAGATTAACTGACCCTGATGATGGACCAGCATGGCAGTATAACCAGAAGAATAGTCAAATGCAGTCAGTGGTAAGTGAAAATAGTGTTAAAATACTCTTGGTCAGTTTTAATGCATCCATTTGCAATGTTTTCAGGAAAATCCTAAAGTAACAGTTCGTAAAAACAAGAAGAAACATGAAAGGAAAGAGAACCAAGATAAGTCAGATCCATCATCACAGGCTAATAAGTACATTGATGAAACTTCTCAATTAGTGATGGAAAACACTGGGTGTCAGGTAAAATAAATGCTTATCAACAGGAATCTTGAATTAAAGCATGATTTACTACTATTTCCAGAATCCCTTGCACACTTTCATTAGTTCAATTGTCAATTCGCACAAGTAGACCAGCTTTTCAGCTTGGACAAAAGGTTTTCCCATTTTAGGCTGTTTCATTTCTTTTAAAAAAAGTTATATTTTTATATATTTATTTGTTCTGATCTTGTGCAACTGTTAAACAAAGAAATAATACTCTGAGAATGGCTTGTGGTCTAAAATACGAAAACATTATGTTCAAGCTGAAAAGGTCTTTAACAAAGAAAGGTCATGCAGGTGGTGGTAGTAAAATAATGACACCACTATGCAAATATTGCCCAAGTATTATATATTTCTAACAATTTTTTATATCTGTAGGACTCAGAACTAATACAGCATACATTACAAGCGAACAATTATGATATAGATGCTTCAATAATGGAAATCATACAAGTGATGTGTGTTCTTGAAGAACAAGGTGAGACCCTTGTATTCTTTCCATATGATGTCGAGTTGATGGATATACTTATTTTATTAATATTAATCACCAAAAGTCTATGTAAAAAAAAACCCTAATACCTTTATTTTACAGAGGCTGATGTAAGCAAAGGATTTGTCAGAGATGTCATTGCTAAAACTGAGGCTATTGAAACTATGGCAACTGAAAATAGTGTTGCCATAGAGCAACCAAGTGATGAATATGTTACAAGAAACAGACAAGAAAATGTTGGAGCTTTCGTTGAATGTAAATCAGATGATGTAACCTCCAGAACTCGATTAAACCATGATGATATAAATGACAATACAAAAGAGACCGACAAGGAAGCCTTTGACAAATTGAAAGGTGATTCAGGAGAGTTAGTCCATGACCAAAAGACTGAAAATAAACTGAAGTTACATCCTGGTGCAAGACCGAAAGAAAATATTTCACAAAAATCTCGTAATAAGGCTCCTCATCTTACAAACAGACAAAGAAAAGATCTTGCACGACAAGAGAAGAAGAAGCAAAGAGAAAAACGACGAGTTAATGAACGACAACAGCAAACAGAAAGTGAAACAGTAGCACAAGACAATGTCAATACGATTGTAGCAGATCTTGGAGCAGTTTGTATTTGATCTTCTTGCTTGCTTTTTATCATCAGTCTAATTGCCCTATAATTTACTGTATGCATGCTTATTATCAATGGACATTGTACACCACTAAGAATATAGTCTCTACGCAAAATATGGACTTAAGGTATTGCTGGTTGTTATGGTGACAATGCCCTTTGAGGAATTGGGTGCAGAATTGGGTGGCACATTATTTTCAACAAAGATATGGTCGTTGTACCCTTCATTGTCATGGGATCTAACTTCCGTGTCACCTCCACAGGCATCACCATCGATTTCTTCGTAGTCATGGTAACGTGTATTAGAATCTTGAGGAGCAATTTGACCAGGGTTAAGATCTTGGTTTTCAGAGAGATATCCATCATCAAAGTCTCTTCTTTCCCGTTCTTCCCATCCTTGTCGTCCTTGTATCTATGACAAGAATGAACCACTTAACATGAATGAACCAAACGATTCAAATCATTACATATGCACACATACAAGTCAACTCACCTGATAAACCTCGCTGATTTTTTCAACTAAACTAGTAAAAGTTGGGCGTTGTTTTGGTTCTGGATGCCAGCATTCCTGCATCATTACTTGTCTGTTGAGTATCAAGACATGTAAATTACACTACTAGTACATTATATTGTGCACACTGAACATGATTTACTGATGTTATACGCCATACGTACATGTCTCTAGACGTGTTTTCCTGGTTCTTCAGTCTATTTCCTCGTTTTAAATATTCAAGGATTTGTTGTCCGTTACTTATTCCTGCGTAAGGCAATTGACCTGTGAAAGATGATTTGCATAGTTGAATTGCTATGTGTTTGAGTAGCCTAGCGTTCACATGTATGAGAGGCTTGTCAGTCCAGAATACTGGCAATAGTTATTGGTTATTTCGATTCACATTCATTTGCACGTGAACAAATGCAGCTCACCTTCATTTTCGATTTCCCACAACACAACCCCGTATGACCACCTGCCAACACAACAGATAGTTGGTTTAACTTGTATACATAATTATCATTGCTGCTTACAGTAGCGCTACTTACACGTCACTTTCTGTCGTGTAAGTGAAGTTTTCTAGAGATTCCAGAGACATCCAGCGCATGGGCAGAATCCCCTGTTATAATACATGTAGTTAGTATGCATTGTACAAGCATTCATGAACCATACGAAAGATAACGAAAAAAAGTTGAACTTTACCCCATCAGTGTTCTCATAGACTCCCATTTGATAGACGTCACGTGACAAACCGAAATCAGACACCATAGCAATCATGTCTCTACCAAGCAAGATGTTGCGAGCAGCCAAATCTCTGTGAACAACCTGATAAGACAACGGCGATAGTTGACATTAGCTTGGTTAACATTAATTTTTGGCAGGAAACACACAGGAAGCCCAACTAACCCTGTTCTTTTCAAAATGTGACATCCCTTTAGCAATATCATATGCAAAGCTTAGCTTTAATTCTGGTGCTATTGTCTTTGTGTTGTCGAGCTTTTCAAGGTTGCTGTAAATAGGGGTTTTACGATTCTCCCTGAGATAGTCCAGAAGACAACCGTTAACGGCACACTTTACTACCAGCCATGGAGGACCTACGTTCAAAACATAGCAAAATATATTTACAGTATTAGTAGTGCTGAGTACGATAGTATGATATGTGTGAAGCAGCTCAAAACATAACATATAATACATTTACAGTATTAGTAGTGCTGAGTACGATAGTATGATATGTGTGGAGAGGATTCAGGAATACTGAACATCATACTTACCATCCGCTGTACACGCGCCAATCAAGCTGATGATGTTTGGGTGGTCACCAACTACTGTCATGAGGTTGATTTCGTTACACAGGTCACGTAGCTCACGCTCAGTGGGATTGTCTTTTGGATGAATTGACGGGGGAAAAGATAGAATCATTAGAAGTAGCCAACCGCAGTAAAGTACAGGTGTAGAATGGGGGAACTGATTTGTTAATTTAGGTTGTGACGAACTCGATAGACTACTTTACCATGGGTATAATATTTTCCCATTTTAGACCACATACCATTCTTTTAAGAATAAGACTCTTTGTCTTAGGGATGGTATCCATATTCATGCATTTTCCCTTATGCAACCGTTAAACAAAGAAATGATACCCTAGGGAACGACATGTGGTATGAAATAGGAAAACATTACGCCCAAGGTTAAGAGGTGTATTAAAGCCACTGAGTAGCCACAGAAAATCACTCGGTTTAAACAAAACAATGATCAATCATAATAACTACCTTTCAGCATTTTTACAGCACATAACGTTTTCTCATTTTTTTCATTCCCCGTGTTCAAGTATGCTCTCATAACAACACCAAATGAACCTGATCCAATCTCTTCTTCGATCGACAAGTCGTCACGTGGTATTTCCCACCAGGCTTTAGTGATTTCGATGCCAAGAGCCTCGAACAGGTTTGTAGAATTTAGCTGAAATAAAATTTCACAAGGATTATATTAATCACTGATTGGTTTCTTCGCTGGCAATCATGTACGGTCAAAAGTAGAATATATAAGTATTACCTGTGTAAGATATTCTCTCTTATTGGACCATCGCCTCCAGGCAACACCAATTATAATTAATGTTACACCAATCACTGCTGCAGCAACTGACAATACGATGATAAGTACTGTATTGCTAGCTGATTTACCTAGAAAACGCCAAAAGACATAGGTGATGGAGTCGAGTCTATAGGATCAAGGGAATCAGTTGTACGTACAACTTACTCGCTTTAGTTTTTACGATGATTGGTTGACTTGCCGTGCTTGGTCCATAAGCATTAACAGAAACCACACGCATCAGATATTTTGTATCCAAATCCAAATGATCCACATTGACTTTCGTCTTGTTGGCGTTAACACTGACAGCATCGTAATAGGACATCTCGGTTTTTGCTTTCTTATACTGCACAGTATAATTTGTGATTCTGTATGGTTCATGGTAAAGTGGTGGGGACCAATACACCCTTACTGAAGTCATTGTAACTTCATCTCCGCTTACATTAGGTGGTGGAGGAGGCGTGTCTGTAACACAAAATGACAGATCATTTATGGATGATACTCTAACACATCCATCAACCAAACCATTTACTATTGACTTGATGATACTCTAACACATCCACCAACCAAACCATTTACTATTGACTTGATGATACTCTAACACATCCACCAACCAAACCATTTACTATCACTGACTTGATGATACTCTAACAC